TTAAAAAAAAAAAAAAAGAGAAGCCAGACACAAAAGATCACACATTGCATGTTCCTTTCACATGATATATGAAGAACAGGCAAACTTGTAGAGACAGAAAGCAGATTAGTGTTAGCAGGGGATGGGGATGGGGGGGATGGAGAGTGATTATGTGTAGGTATGGGGTATTTTTCTCGGGTAATGAATAAGTTTTGAAACTAGAGAGGTGTGGTTGCATAACATTGTGAATACACTAAATGCCACTAAACTGTACACTTTAAAAGGGTTGATTGTATGTTATGTGAATCTCACCTCAATTTTTTTTTTTTTTCCTTTTTTTTGTCTTTTTTCGTGTCCGGCAACGGATCGCAACCCTCAGTGTCGCGCCCGTACCGGACCGGGACCGGCAACGGGATCGCAACCTTCGGTGTTGCTCCCACACCTCGCTCAACCAGTGAGTGGGAACTGGTCTGTATGTGGGATCCGAACCCTCGGCGGGAGCGCCACCGCGCTCCCAAGCGGTGCACTGTAGCAGTGCGCCACCGGGCCGGCCCGTCACCTCAATTTTTAACAAATGTGTTGTAATATAAAAAAGTCAGTTTGAGGAACAATATAAACCCATTTGCATTATTTTAGTTGCAGAGAGACAGATACGTATGTAATGGAGCAGACATACACATATACAAATGCATATACATTATACAAGGGGTCTCCAAAAAGTTCATGGAAAAATTCATATTGTCTTTCAATTCTATTTTCCCATGAGCTTTTGGAAGTACCCTCATATATTTACACATGTATATACTCAGGCAGTCCTCTCTTCCCACTGTCGTGTGGGACTGTAAAAATGACCATGTAAGCTGAAATCATGCCGAGAGATATTAATAATTAGTGGGAAAATTACTGGATAATAATAGTGGGAAAATTATTCTGTGGCCTTTAAAAATTGTTGCTAAAACATTAGAAACTATCTCATGGTTTGTTATAAAGGTACAGGGAAATGAAATAAATAATAAAATTAATATTTATTTAGTACATGTAATTTAAGCACAAAACATTGATAATTGTGTTTTCCTTATAAAAGTTTATCAAGAAAAAAATTTATCAAGTTGTTTAAATAGTGCTGCCTTCTTCTAGAAGTGTGACTGACAATACAGAAAGAGCAACTCCTGTGCCTTAGTGAATGGTCACACTCCTTTCTAAATTTGGATCAGTTTTGGAGCTGGTCTCACCCTGGCCTTTGGAGCTGAATACAGACTTTGCAGCCTCCAGTGTTCCCTCCTCTTCCAAAGGTATAAATTCTTAGCTTTTGAAGAGACGTTGCCCACCTTTGCTCAAGCTGCGCCCCTGTCTGGCATGCCCTCCAATCTGATCCACCTGCCAGGGCCTAGCCCCGGCTCTGCCCCTGCTCTGCAGCCTTTGTATCCACCCAGGCTTCCTCTGAACTCAGTGAACACCTATTATGTGCCTGGTGTGCCCCTCCAGCCCCGTGCTAAATTCTGTGATCCTTACCACAGCCTCTTAGGAAGGTACTATCATCCCTATTTTGCTCAAGAAGAGAATGAACAAAGCTTACTCAGTTGAGAGAGCCTGAGCTGGGATTCAAACCCTGGTTCACCTGTTTCTAAAGTCCAAACTCTCCAAAAATCCCTCTCTCAGGAGGTGGATGCTGCTGCCTCTATCAGCTTCCCAGCCTGCAGCTGACCACCAGCCCCTTGGGGACGGGAGCCATGCCTTGTCCAGCTCCCCCTTGCATAGCAGCTTACAAGGGCAGGCAAGGTGACCATGGCTTCCCAGGCTGGCTCCACATCTCCCATGTCAATTAGGACAATTAGAACATTTGGTTTTGGTGTTTTTCAACAGGGGCATACTTGGTATTTGAAGTGAGTTGGGTCTGCATTGGGTAGCACTCTCTGGTGCCATGAAGAATGTTCAGCATCCCTGGGCTCAAAATGCCAAGAGACCCCTAGTTACTGAGACAGCACAAAGCATGGCACCTCTTGGGAAAGGGGGCAGGAGAGGGGATACCAGGCCCAGGCAACACCGGTCCATGACACGAACAACCACAGAAGATCAAAACTTGGACTTGGACGAAACGGTCCCTCCTCCACTATGAACTAGGTGTGGGATCTTGGTCAGGCCACAGCACAGCCTCTCTGAGGCTCAGCTTCCTTTTCTGTACAATGGGATAACAACGATGCGATAATCCACAGAAAGCATACTGTGAGTCCTGCCAATGACAATAGTCTATCAACATGTAAACCTATAAGCCTTCCCATAAAAATTAACTACCAAGCAAGACAAAAAAGTCTCATGTCAGATAATGAATCTTGGTTTTTTTTTTTTTTTGATCAAAAAAAACAGTCTCCAGAAGACAAATGGTTTGGTGAGAACCTGTTGTTGAGTTGGTGGCGAGGGGTTACTGGGGGACCCCGAGTGAGAAAAACAGTAGATGTCCCACCCTGTTCCTCTTGACACAAAATCTACATCCAAAACCGGAGTCTCACTCCTAACGGCAGTTTTACACATGAAAAAAAAACACGCCACAACAGATGGGATAGTCTGGCGGGAAACTCAGAGAAGATCATATTGGTTTTACAGGTAGGAAAACTGAGGTTCAGAGCAGGCAAATGACGTGCCCAAAGTCAGAGTCTCAGAAAAGCACAGGAGGCCCCCAGCTATGAGTCCACAGCTGGCACCTCTTTCCAGAAATGAGGAGGGGGAATGAGCATTTTGGAAACTTTTCCATCCAAAAGTGGGACATGGCCCCATGTCTGTTAGGACAGGAGTGACAGTGACTCCTCTCCTGCTATAGCTGGAGTGATTTTGGCTTGCTGGCTACAGAAGCAGGGGTCATACTCCCTGCTGGCCATCTAGGTGTCCTGGCACACTGGCATCTGAAAACCCAGGTGAGTGTAGACACTTGACAAGACAGAAGAAGCCGGAGGCCAAACACCTTTATCTACATGGGTAGAGTTTCTGCATGAGCAGGAACTGCTGCTCTGGGGACAGAATGAAATGGGGGGGAGGGGACATCAGTGTGAAGGATTTCCTCATTGCCATTAACTCTCCTATGTTCTTTTGTCGCCTGGAGGTTCCAGAGGTTCAGTGTGAAGCTGAGGGTGGGAAGCTGTGTTAGTACCTAATGGAGTTGTCATCCAACAGGAAAAGAACGACTTAGCAGAAGCCAGACTGAATGTTCCTAACCTGCACATTCTCTGATCATGTCAGTTACCCTCAGCTGCTTAGCAGACCCTGACGCAGAGGCCATGGATGAACCCTCTCTGCTTGAGTTTCAGCCTCATGATTTCTCCTCCCAGATATGCCTACCCAATTTTCAGTCACAGATTCAGTCACCTCCTTGGAGAAGCCCTCTTGGACTCCACCCGGGCTGGGCCAGGTGCCCCCTCCTCTGGGGTCCCAAGTCCCTGAGCTTCACCCACAAGGCAGTCAACACAGATGCTAACTCTAAAGTCAAGAACTGTGTGCTTGTCCTCTTCTCCACCTCAGCCTCTGGCAGCACCCAGTAGGTCCTCAAAGCATGAGTGCTGATGATCCAGGAAGCTGAGAGAGACACCAAGGAGCCCAGCAACCTCTCCCAGGGAACATGGGAGCGAGGCCTTGGGAACCCCTTTGGGTAACTTTCTTAACCTCTCTGTGCCTCACTTACCTATCTGTAAAATGGGGCTAATTTGCATGTAAAGTATGAAGTATGACACGTGTAAGCTCTCAGTGTTCTGCTATCCACCGTGGTTGTTTGTTTTACAAGGGGGAAGACATAGAAGCCCAGGGAAGACATGCCAGATCCAAAGTCTCAAGGTTGGAAAGCCTTGGACTCCATCCTGGGGTCTGGCCTTCAAGGTTTGCTTCTTTTTATTCTACACCCCGGGTTGTCTCCCCAATCTCTTCCACTTGTTCAGTCAATATATAGTTACTGGATGCCTGTTGTGTGCCAAGCTCCAAGCTTGGTGTTGCATGACTGATGACAAAAAAAGCTTCTCAGTGTGGGGTAGGATAAGCTAGATCCTGAGCATTGATGTAAAATCCTCCAGGTCTCAAATTCCAGCTTCTCCACTTCCTGGCCACGATATTGCTAAGTTTCCTAACTTCTCTGAGGCGGTTTCCCCCTTTATTATAGGAGGAAAATAAGCCCTCCTAGCAGGAGAGCTGAAACCAGGCATTGGCTCAACATATGATGGATGTGAGCATTACTATCTTCATCATCTTATTTATTTATTTTTGGGGGGCTGGCCGGTATGGATCTAACCCTGGCCCTTGGTGTTACCAGCATCACGCTCTAACCAACTGAGCTAATCAGCCAACCCCATTGCCTTATTTTGGATAATCAGCCTGTGCACGTGGTGGTAAATTCCTCCCGCTTGTCCACGTATCCATGACCCCAGTTATCCTGTCCCAGGCAACCACAGTTAACAACTTATTGTGCATCTTATCAGAGGGCTGGTGAGCACACCCACAGATACCACGACCACACACGTTATTTTACACAAACACACAATTGGCAGCACCGATCAACGTTGTTCTTTCTGCACCTTCCTTTTCTCATCTAAAGTATCTTGGAAGTAGTCTCATATTCATGCATATTGAACATTTTTCGTCTTAATGTTTGCACCGTATTCCACTGTATGGATTACTTTTTAATTTGGTTGCCGTTACTATTACCAGCCTGGCAACTGCGAACACTCAGGAGGATCCCTGGGGCTGTGGAGCTGGAGTCAGGGGACACGGTTCCAGCCCCAGCTCTGCCCAGAATTCGCTGTTACCTCGGGCTTCATCTTCTCCGTCGGTACGGTGGTGGGAGAGGGATGCGGGCGCACAGAGGACCAACCAGCCCGGCTGCTCCCAGTGTCCGAGCGCGGATCAGCGAGTAGCGCGTGCAACCTACTCCCTCGGGCGGTTCAATCTACAAGTACTAGGAGGGCCAAACGATCAAGCTAGGAACCGTTACCAGGCTCTCCCGGCCTCAGCACCCGACCTCGGGGAAGCCACGCTCAGGTACTCACCCGCTCCTCGGCCGCTTCACCCCTCGTCCCCTAGAGCGCTCCGAAGGTTACGGCAGTTCCTGTCCCTTTAAGGGGGCTGAGCCCGGGCTCGGCTACTTCCGCCCCGAAGCAACATGGCGCCAGAGAGGGGGCGAGAGCGGGGTGAAGGCGCGGAGAAAGTTCCCCTCATAAAGATGGCGACGCCCTGGCCGCCGCGTTCGCGCCCGCCGGTGACGTCACTTCCGGGGCGGAGGAGGCTGAGTGGTGCAGTGAGGGACAAACAAAAGGAGGCGCCGGGGAAGCGCTGCCGCCGGCGGCGGGACGGAGCGGCAGGGGGCTGGGGCTGCCTGCTGGGCGGCCGGGCACGGCGAGCCCAGGTGAGTGGGCGGGGTAGGGAAAGGGACACGGGCTGTCACCTCTCGAAACCCACTCATACACGCCCCCGGCCGGCTGCCCGGCCCCCAGGCGCCCCGGGCAGCCTGGACTCTGCTTGTCTTGTTCAGTCTCATGACTGCTTCTGCACAGAGTGCCTGGCGTACACTAGATGTTCATTAAACACTTGTTGATGGGTAGAGGGTGGGTGGATTTTTGTTCGAATTGGAGTCAGGGCAGAGGCTGTGTCTGCCTGACCCAGCTCACCCCACTGTAGCCCATCTGTTGCCACTTTCCATCTCCAGCATTCTCTAGATGACATGTTCTTCTCTCTTTTTTTTTTTTTTTTAAAAGATGACCGGTAAGGGGATCTTAACCCTTGACTTGGTGTTGTTAGCACCACGCCTCTCCCAAGTGAGTTAACCGGCCATCCCTATATAGGGATCCGAACCCGTGGCCTTGGTATTTCTAGCCCCACACTCTCCCAAGTGAGCCACAGGCTGGCCCTTAGATGACATGTTCTCTCCCCTCCGAGCAAACATGTACTGTCCCCTCTGCCTAGAATGCTCATTTTCCAACTCCTACTCTTCCTCAGGAGGCAACTCAGGCAACTCCTCCTCCAAGAAGCCTTTCCTGACCCCACTAGTCTGGGCCTGGTGCGTCTCCTGGATTCCCCCCAGCAGAGCACTGGCCTCTGAAGATTGTAATTGCTGACCTGGCATCCCCTTAGTAGACCAAGTTCTGTGAGGGAGACATCCTGTCTGAATCTCTTGTCACCCTAAAGCCAGCCCAGTGCCTGGCACCAAACAGGTTCTCAGAAAATGTTGGCAGCACAGCAGGTAACTCAGAGTCACACACATGCCTGCTGACAGTAGCTCTCGCTTCCTCATAGGGAGGCAGCGTCCATGGAGCAAAAGGAATGCCAGGACCCTGTCCAGACAGACGTGAGCCAGCCTCAGCACCGACAGCCGACGTGCAGATAGCAGAGCCGTCCTCGGGGTAAGGACTGGACCCTTTCCCTCCAAGTCAGCTCCAGTGCCCAGCCTGGGGAGCAAAGGGCAGCATCTCGGTCTCCACAGTCCTTTGCTCTTCTCACTGCAGGTCCAGGGGATCCAAGACAGAGGTGGTAGATGACAGGATTATTCTCTTCCTCCTTCTCCTGACTCAGTGGCTAGCTCAGTAGCGTCTGGTTGCTGTACTCTTTGAATGTCAATGTTGTTTCATTGCAAACCTCTGTTTTTCTTCCCCACTCCAGATCTTATCAGTCTGGGTTGCTAATAATGCTGCCTTATGACCCCTGGTGTGTTCCACACAACACCGACTTCTCTAGTCACAGTGGTTAGATAGCACTGGGGAGAAGCAACTTCTTGTTAACCATGCTGCAGGACTTCTCAGAGCCTTGAATGTCTTGAGCTGAGCATGATGAGTCTCTGAGAGGGAGCTAGCAATTTGTGTCCCCCAATTATTTGATCATGTGGACATCTTCGGGGACTGCTTTGGAAAATGGTTGCTTCCCAGAGGCAGGAGAGTGCTCTTGTTAGGGCCTGGACTTGTAGTCAGACATGGGTTTGAGTCCTGGCTGTCATGTGTTTGCCGAGTGACTATGGGCCAGTCATTGTACCTCTCTGAGCCTCAGTTTCCTCATCTTTAAAATGGGGATAATATTAGCATCAACTTCCCTTTAGAACGTTTTGAGGATTAAATATGTTGATATAGAGAAAGCACTTACTAGAGTGTGTGTCCCAGAACGTGGTCCCTAATCACCGCTGATATGTGTGTACACTGCTGCGTAATTTGCAAAACACATTCACGTCATTTGATCATTTGAGGAAGCTTTGGCAGTGGTGATTATCCCCCCTTTACAGATGTGAAAACTGAGGCTCAGAGTGAGGAAGCACCTTGTCCAAACTCATTGGGAAGGAAGGAAGGGACATGGGACCTGAACTGGATTCTGGAATCCTGGGCCTGGGTCCTTTGTTCTCTGCCCTGAGGCCTCCCTGCATCCACTGCCCACTGCAGCTTTTTGTGAAGGAAGGCCTGAGACTCCCCAGCATGGATTTTTTAAAAAGCAGTGATCTTTTTTTTCTTTTGTAATTACCAACATAGTTGCATGTTCACTATATGTATTTATACTGTTTGGATTTTTAATGTCATATAGAAAATGAAAGTCTTCTCTGATCCCCATCTTCAGAGACATGAATGGGTAGGGATATATTCTTCCACATCTATTACTAATGTTTGCTTATTTTTACAAAAATCGGGTCATGATTGAGCTACTGATTTGCAGTTTGCTTTTGTTTCATTTAAACAAATAAACCTCTTTCCCAGAAAAGAGGTAGACAGATCTGTGTGCGAGTCCCAGCAGAACCTATGCTCACTCTCATGGCCTCTCCTCGTCACTGCTCTGGGAGTCTTGAGCTGTGTGTCTGGGCACTGACAGCAGCAGAGGGAAGTGGGAAATGCCTGGTGTGTGCTTTTGTCAACTCTTCTGTTTATTGGGACAAGGTCAGCAAACTCTGGCCCTGCCCTGTAGGAGTTTCCTGTTGGCTTTGAGGAACACTGTTCCTTGGAGAGGAGAGGCCTGCACTGAAGTCTCCCATGCTGGGCAGCGATGAGCAGGAAGCAGCAGGTCCTGCTTATCTGAGATCAGAATTCCTCCTCCATGCCAGAGCTGGCTTGGAGGCAACAGCATGGGCTGGCTGGAGAGGTCTGGCTTCCGGGTTCTGGCCTCCACTGTCTCTGCCTGAGGTGGGGCCCAGGCTGGGGTTGGGGGGACACATGTGGGTCGAGTGGCATCTGAGTCTTTTTTTTATTTGCCTGGGTCTGGCCCTTCCTGGACCTTCAGGAACAGGCTGGCCTTGACTCAGTTTACTCTTGCAGTACCTGGAGGAAGCTTTGGTTTTGGTCCTTCTGGAATGCTCCATTCAGGTTTGAGCCCTGAGGGTGGGAAAATGAGGAGAAGGGGGAGGGCCCAACCTGCGAGCAGGGACTAAAGATGCTCTTTTAGGACATTGGATGACCACGGGATGGGTCAGCAAGGAGGGATTTCAGGCCTGGCAGCCTTGTTTTGTGGAGCTGGGAGAGTGCTGTTCGGCAGTTGATTGGGGAATGAGGTCTTTCCTGGAGCTGCTGATGTCTCCAATGACCTGGAAGTTTTCTCAGGCTCACTGTCCTGCCCTTCTCCCCTCCCATGTGTCTTCCTCCCATTCTTCCTCAGGAGTCCCTTCCTGTTCACACGAGGCACTACCTGGCAGAAAGTCTCAGGATCGGCTTCTCGTAGATGACGCTCAGATTCTCCAGCTTCTCCTCCTTCCTGGCAGCAGCACCTTCCCATCCTGCAGTCACCCTCAGTGCCACATTCTGAGTCTTGGGCGGCATGCAGGGTCACTGTGTGTGTGTGTTTGCCATCTTAGCCTTGCCACGGCCTTGTGTGTGAGGTTGTTTTACCATTTTACAGATGAAGAGCCCAAGGCTCAGAGGGATGAGGTCTCTTTCCAAAAGTTGTACAACTTATCGGTAGCAAAGCCAGGCCTCGAACCCAGGTGTGTGTGGCTCGGCAGCTTTTGCTCTTCCTGTTCTACCCTCCATTGTTCTTTGGCTCTAGGTTCTCAGGCTTTTGGTGAGGGAGAGGCTTCAGATCACCCAGGAGCTTGTTTAAAATGTTGTAGCCCTGGGTCCACCACCACGGACCTGCGGAGTCAGCCCTGCAGTGCTGGCAGGAATCTGCACTTTGAAGGAGCTCCCCCGATAGTCATGAAACTGGTGGTCTGTAGAGCATGCTGAGAAACATTGACCAGGGGCCACTCTTTCAGTCCTGGTCCCCACCTCTGGTGAACGAGTCCATCTGCTGCCGGAACCGACACTCTTGGTGGACAAGCAGGGCTGAGCTCCCCCCAGTACTGGGATTGGACACTTGTTTTTCAGTGACTTCCCATTTTGGGTGAGTGTGTGTGATAGGAGGCGGGGGGCTTAACTTTCCCTCATCAAGGATGTGTGGGGCTGAGGTTTCTAGAAGGACTTTTTTTTTTTTTTTTGTCTTTTGTCTTTTTCCGTGTCCGGCAACGGATCGC